GGTAAAGCTAAAGATTAAAGACAGCTTGACAAAATCCTACACACTCTCCAGCTGAGTTTTACACATTGTGAGATGTGGTAGGACAGAATGAGGGTGTTTAAAAAAATTATTGCTATTATGCAGCTGGAGGGCAATGGGCTGAGTTGGGAATATGCCAGGAGAACTTGTGCTGCTTGTGTAGATAAACTTACAGGACTTCAGCTTTCAACCCCATCCAATTCTTTCTGTCAGATTCTCTTAACCTTGTCCTGTCCCTTGCTGAGCACTGACATTTTCAGAGCAGAGGAAAATCATGTTAAATTTATGTATGAGGAGGGGTACGTCTGTGTGTATTGCTGTACTCTGGTTTTAAGTGTTTGGGCTCTTTTGATTAGTTCTGCCCTTGGTTTATTTTGTAGTCTCAGAAGTGCTTATAAACCAGTGCTGGTTAAGAGTCTAATTTAGCTTCTCCTCATGTTCTTTGGTCAGCGTGGTGGCAGTCCTTTGTGGCTGTGCAGAAGAGCCTCAGCCCCTGCTGTGGGACAAAGAGGACCGAATTGTTTACTGCCCCTGGACAGCCTAGGCCTGTTGCAGCCCAGATGGTGCTTTTTGTCAGTTTAATTTATTGAGATTCTGCCGAAGATTTTGTTTGATGTGTGAGTTTTAACACTGAAATACGCATGTAAACCTATGTGATGCTGGAGAATTGTGAGAGATGGGCCTGGAAAGGAAGATTGAAGCCAAATTGTAGAGTACCTTGAAACCTGACAAAGGGGAATATATTTTTATTTTATCTGTAGATACGTAATGGGGAAACACTGAGGATGACTGAGCTGGAAAGAGACAATGTGAAGGATGGACTGAGTGGAGACGTGTATCAAAGAGTCTGGGTGTCAGAGACTTGTATTAGAGAGGGTTGTTGTAGTAATCTAGTCAGGCTATGAGAAATGGTTTGTATTAGAGTGTCAGGAGTAGTCATGGCAAAAATATATAGATCAGGGATGAGGGATGGGTCTCATCTCACACCCTCACTCCAGTCAGTGGCAGTGGTGGCTCCCTGGAGTACACTACGATAGGAAGGATTTTGTAAAGTTTTGTCTGGCCTCAGTGGAGGGTGAGGTAGGGGAGGAGTTCTATGAACAGTTAGTGATGTCTGCCATGGTTGAAACAATGGAGAATGGGGACAGCTTTTCTGTGCAGGTGTTGTTTCTGGTAGGTAGAATCCACATTGTAATGGGAGAAGTATTAGGAATCGTAACAAACTGAATGTGGAGAATCAGTAAATTATGAAAGGTGTAAAAGACTACTGATATTTAAGCCTGGTGGACTGGACTTAGAGAAATGACAATTAAAGGAGAAATATCCAGCAAAAAAGATACGATATGGAAGTTCGGGACTGAGATTAGTACCAGAGATTTGGATCGAAGATGATTTGTATAGAACAGATAGTTGATTTTACTCTTGCAATTTGGATTGAGGGTGGGAAACCAGAGAGGGCTGGGGGTAAATTAGTAGAGGTCAACTTGAATTCATGTGTTCATATCAATGCTGAACTGATTGTGAACATTTTTACAGCTTGAGTCACATTGTAAGGAGACCAAGAAGTGAAGTGAGCATAGTAAGCATTTGGAAGTAGGTGAGTGTTTGGGGTTCTCTATCTACAACTTTTAAGTTTTAACAGAACTCCACGATACTCTATTGAAACTCTTAAATATTACCTTGTTTATTAATTACCAAATTTTAGTATTGACTTGAGCAACAGGTCTCTCCTCTGCTATATTTTGAGATTATATAGAGTATTGACACTAAGAAGAAACTCAATCGTAGCTCCTTCTGTTAGAGAAGAAAAAGAACTCAGAAGGGTTAAAATTTGGCCCAACATCACAGAGGTAATAGGTAGCGTGGTTGGGCCTGAGACTCAGGTCTTGCAATTTTCCTTCTAAGTGCTTTTTCTGTATTCGATGCTATTTTTTTTTTTTTTTTAAGAATCTATATGATACAGATTTGAACATTATTTATAGAAATAAAGAATAAATGATGTGCATAATCTGACAGAATAATTTTGAGAAATGCAGATATTGATAGTCCCCCGCTTTTTGCCCTTTTATTGTGCTGCTTCATTTATCTATTCATAAATATATTTAAACCAGTCTCTGAATATTTAGGTCAGTGCTAGTCATTTGCTTTTATAAATGGGAAAAGACTGTAAGTTAACCAGACTGTCTAGGTTTAAATCTGAGCTCTTCCATTTCTTACCTATGAGATCTTTGATAAGTTTCTTACCTTTGTGTTCCAGTTCTCTTATTTGTAAGATGGGGATGATAATGGTGCTTACCCCATTGGGTTACTGTGAAGGTTAAATGAGGGTGGATATGTAAAGTACTTAGAACAGTCTTTGGCACATAGCAAGCTCTATGTATGTAAGATCATAGCCTTGAGAGTTGACCTTTTGGATTCAAATTCTAACTCCATCTTTTACTAGTTGTTTGACCTTGAACAATTACCTTAATTTTTCTAAGCTTAGATAATAGTATCTACCTTATAGGACTGCTCTGAGAACTCAGTGAGATAATGCAGATAAAGTACATTCTCAATGCTTGACTTAAAATAAGGACACAATACAAGATAATCATTTTCATTATTACCATCATAATCTTTATAATTAAGAATAATATGATAATGAACATCCATGCACATAACCCCTTATATGTCTTCATGAATGTTTCCTTAGGGTAAGTTCTTAGAAGTGAAATTGCTGTCTTCCTCTTGACTTTCTACAAGGTCTTTAATCTTTAAAAAGTTTTGTATATTGAAAAAGACACGCTTTTGTTGAACACATAGTAGGTACAATTCACCAACGTAGGCATAGTAGGTTAAATAAGGTTGAACATTTCTTTGTCTATATTGACTTTGTAATCTAGTGTGAGAGTAAAGAAATGAAACTAACTGTGGTAAAATACGCAACGTGAGATATATCTTTGAAAAGGGACAAAGTACTATGGAAACACATCAATTGAAGAGAGAAATTTCGGCAGAGAGAAATCAGGAAAGACTTCATGCAAGAGAGGAAAAAATTAGATATCTATGATGCATAGTGTTTTGATAGATGAAGATTGGTAAGCATATTCTTGGCATAGCAAAGTTTGTCATATGGCCATTTCTGTCACTGGAGCCTTAGGGTTTAAGTGCATATACTAGCCCTTGGCTTTGGAGACTTAGAGACTGGTAAGGAGCTTATCTTCTTTTCTCCGCTCACTGTGTTCCTCCATCTAGAATCTCTTTATCTTCCTTCCATCTCCTTCAGGACACAGGCAATGTTTGGATTTCCCAGTTTCTCTCAGAAACATGATAGTACATCCTGTATTTCTTAAGACAGATTCAGGCCAAAGTACACATGCAGCTCTTGAGTTGGTCAAATTGGAATTCAGTTGCTGGGTTCTCCATGATTACTTTAATCTGATTTCTCTGAAGAAAAGTTAATCTGTTGGTATGAACCGATGGCAAGGCTTTACAAGTATACGTGTTTTAATGTAGTCGCAATTTTTATGGTAAGTTAAAGCCTTTCCAATTGTTACTTATTTTTCAGTGACAGTTATGACAAATGGCTGGCATAATTTATTTTTGCTTTGTAGATGGGCATAACTAGAGATCTTATATTTTGAGTATGCATTTTTTATGAATTTATAGAATTTTAGCCTAAGACATTAGATTAGATGTTAAAGCATTTATGTTGACAAGCGAGAAGTAAATTGTATTCTGATCCAGTTTGTATAATAATGTGTGACCAACCCAATTCACTAAGTTTGTATTGGTAATTTTGCATTGCTATGGGACTTAAGTTACATATATAAGAGTTGACAGTTATTTCAGCATGTGTTAGTCTTGAACTCCAGAAGGTAAAGGGGAAGTTCTGCTATTTATTTTCTGTTCAAAAACAGAGAAAAAAAAGAATCTTTATATTATTCTCTGTCACACACCGGTAAATACATAGTCTTCCCAAATCCACCATTAACCAATGCTGTGAGCTGCTTAGTTTGCTTGTTTCCCTAAAGCTTTCATGTGACAAATTTATAATTTTATATGTTATTTCTAGGTCAACAGTTAGATTAATGTTTTATCTCCTGAGCAAAAACACAGTGCTTCTTTGTAAACTTTGTTATCTTACTGAAACTGAAAATTGCAAAACAAAGAATTTTCCAGTTCTCACATTCCCTGATGGAGAACAGTGTTTATATAGAGGTTATCTTGTGGTTTATTTTATATTCTACTTAACTTTAAACTTTCTGCAGGTGGAATAAATATCCTACTTAAAGCTTTCAAATCTTATTAATTAAAGGTAGTTAGTTGTCATTACTGATGGTTTACTAACTTTTATTTATTTTTGCTTCATTGTAGCTCAGGAGGAGGCCACCTAAATTGATCAGAATATAAGCTTATCCTACTCCCTGAAATATACTTAGTGCCAGCAACAGAAATACACTCAAGAAATACTTGTTAAGTGAATAAACTGATAATGACCTAGGAGGATGCAAGTCTTACAAAGTAGTTCAGAATATGCAGATTTTACCATCAGTCTGAGAGTTGGTAACTTCGAACATTTTCTATTTGCGCTAGTATGAATTTAATTTTTTACAATGCGATATGTCATCAGTTCTTAAGTAGGCCTGGGAACTCATTCTTTTTGAAATCTATTACATTGTAAAGACCTTATAACAACATTGTCTTCCATTTTCGTGTATTTAAAGTTTTTTATGTTCTGGCTGGTCACAGTGGCTCATGCCTGTAATCCTAGCACTTTGGGAGGCTGGGATCACTTGAGGTCAGGAGTTTGAGACCAGCCTAGCCAACACTGAGAAATCTCCGTCTCTACTAAAAGTACAAAAATTAGCTGGGCATGGTGGCACATACTTGTAATCCTAGTTACTGGGGTGGTTGAGGCACCAGAATATCTTGAACCTGGGAGGCGGAGCTTGCAGTGAGCTGAAATCATGCCACTACGCTCCAGCCTAGATGACAGAGCGAGACAAAAAAAAAAAAAAAAAAAAAAAAAGGAAAGAAAACATATTATATTGTGTGACTCCATTCTCAGACCAGGGGAAATTTGATTTTAAATATATCCCATTATTTGATGTATATTATGACCTTTTTTTTTTTCTTTCCACAACCCCACCCCAAAACACTTAATACATTTCAGTAACTGAGTCAGCTTCATTATTAAAAACTCTTAGCACAGCCAGTTCTAGTTATTTTTCAGAGTGTTCCTAGAAAGACACATCCTAAAGGAGATTGTCATGAAAGATTTTGTATTTCCTCAAAGGAACAATAGAGCTTGCATTTGTGATCAAAGATGGAACAGAGATAATCACAGAAGTGACCCAAATGCCATAAAAGCAAAAATACAGCCATAAACCTACATATTATTTTATCTTTATTTCTATTTAATAAACATTTTGGGCATGTACAGATATGAATCTTAGGTAGTCATTATGCTCAAACAAATTTTTCAGGCATTGAGGGAACACATGATTGGAGTGGACTCCAGATGAACCATGTAGTCAGCCAGCGTTCAGGATACATACGGGAACACTAGCTTTATGGCAGCTGGATAATTTGGAATCTCATCCTTATAACTTGGATGCCTGGTCTGGCATGGTAGAGTAGACCTGATGAGCAGACTGACTTGAAATCTGATCTGAGGTACCTTAGTGATCTTATTGGAAACACAGAATAACTTAGAATACCTGGAGGGATCAAATTTTTTTTTTTCTACCTCTTTTAAACTAAAATACTGTAAATCTCAGTTGGGCATGAGAGGTAGTGAATTGAAGAGGGTTTGTGTCCGAGCTCTCTGGTCAAAGCTTTGATGTACTTATTCTGTGCTATAAATTAAAAGGGAATTCGTTCTCTTAATTGGTGATTCTGAAGAGACTTGCTGAAAGTTGCCCAGTTTGTAATTAAGCTTTGGATCTAATGTTCTTTTCTTCATTTTCTATACTTTGATATTAGATAGCTGCTTGTATGACTATACATTATGAAATAATTGGATACATGTTAAAAATGAAAACTAAACTCTGCATTAAGTAAAATTAGTGAAGAGGCAAAAGGTAGGGGTGGCCTCTGTGAAGCAGGTATGAGAAAAGCTCCATGAAGATATGATTACATTTGTTTGATTTTTTTTTAAATTGCAACATGTTTAGATGGATATTTATAAGAAGGTGGAATAGACCTCTTTAAAATAGAAAGTACAGGAGCTTACAAATCATATAGCACTTGCAATCTCCTCCCCTCTTCTTATCACTTTTATGCCAGGAAGGATTAAGAAATCTGAATATTTGGAGACAAAGCAGTGTGAGATGTAATTGCCCAATACTGAAGGAGAGTTGAGCCATAGCACACACCAGAGTAGGGATGCTATAACCAGTTATGCAGGCGGAGACACAGTGTGGTTCCTATGTGTGAGTATCTGCTGTTGGTCAGTGGCGGCCTTCCAAAGGCTTAAGTGATTATGATGCTTGAAAACATGTTGGGTTCAAGGATTTATAATCTATTTTAAAGGCAGTAAATTCAAGGTTAAATAGAGTGCACTGGTGTGTACCTTAGATATTAGTTCTTTAAATCTTTCTCCAAATGGTAGTTTCTCTAGAATTTGAGACATGAACACTAGGTAATTTAGTATTAGGCAAATATTTAAACAGTTTAAATGAGTTTATTGCATCCCGGCTCTATTACTTACTAGCTGTGTAAGTAACCTTAGGCAAATTATTTGAATTTTTTGCGACTTAATTTTCTCGTCTATAAAAGACATTTAACAATGGTTTCTACCTCTTAGGGTTTTTGTGAATATTAAATGAGGTAACATATGTGAAGTACTTAGAATCGTTTCTAGCATATAGTAACACTATATACGTGTTAGCTGTTATGACAGTGATAATGATGTTCTCCTCCTCCTCCTCTTTCTCCTTTTCCTCCTGCTAACATTTGTAGAAGTGTGAACTATCTCTCAATTCATCTACTCGCTTCATCTGAGAAGAGCCAGTCTTCCTGACCAGTATTTTACAACCCAAGATACCCACTTAGGGCCAACCAATATGCTACCAGCTTTGTGCTTAGGTTATTTCCAACCAATCACTTAAAAGCAGGACTCAAAATTCAACTTCAGTTCAGTAATGGTCATTGTTTTTCTCTGGTCATCCCTAAGGTTTATTTATTACTAGACGCATCAGTATGACCCTCTCATAACATTTTTGTTTCCTGAGAAATGGATTTTTAATAAACCATTATCACAACAGCATTATTATCACTATCCATGGTGTATTAATTCAACCACGTCTGTGGCCCTCTAATTTATTTATAGTATTGTGATAGAAGTCATGGGGAATACAAAGAGGGCAAAAAGGAAAAAATATATATAACTTAGTTGGGAAGACATAACAAATGTGTATCAAACGTTAAACAGCATTAAGAAAAAACACTAGTAAAGAGCCAAGGGAGGTTAGAGTAAGGAAACAGAATGCCTGCCCCAAGTTTTGGGGCAGAAATAGAAATATAGAAGGCAGGATCTCAATACACAGAAAGGAACAGTGCAGGCCGAATGGTGGAGGAAGAATATCTATGGTGCCTTCAGAGAAACCATGAGCAAGCTGGTTTCACTGGAAAAGAGAGGTGCTGTTGAGAACTAATAGGAGAGCAAGTTGGTAAGTTTGGAAGATAGACAATTACGTGGAAAGAAATAAAATTCTGTTCACTGCAACAACTAATGTCTACAACCTATCAAATTAATACATGTATTAAGCACTGATAATACCAGCTAAATCTCAGTCAGAAGCTAATGAACTGGAGAACATCAAGGACCTAGTTGCAGAAGCATATCAGAGCTGCTGGCCCTGAAAAACCCTGAAAGAGCCGGAAATTAAGAATTTCATCTTTGGACTCAGCCAAACTTAGACAGACTTGGTTTTAAACTCAGTTTAGCTGCTTACTAGTTGTATTAGTGGAAACATTAATTAATTCTCTGTACCTCAATTTCCTCATCTGTAAAGTGGTGATACGATTAATTTGAAGATGGCACCTTTGAAATGTGTAAGGATTGAATGAAATGGGTAATTTATGTGAAGGTCTTACAAATTAAAACATATAGTGAGTACTTACTTAATGGTCACTAATATTAACAGCAACAGAGTATGTTTCAGTGAGACAGAATAAGTTCAATTTAACTTTTTTTCATATTGAGATGCCATGTAAAATGTTAACTAATGTTCCACTTCTTTAAGAAAAAGTTGGAAACACATTCATACTTATTTTTAACCTTACTACTGTGAAATGACAGTGCTTCTAATTCTGGCTGTGAAAACTAGTAATCCTTTTAAAAGGATTAAATTGTGAATAAACACATCAGGAAAGAACTTAAATCTAGTGTTTCCTGACTTCTTGTTTTGGTTCTGATTAATTAAATTTTTTTTCAGAAAGGGTAGAAACCAAGAGTAGGTACAATTGAAGAGTTAATCAGAAAATTAAATAAGGGTACTCATTAACCATGTGTTTTAGTAATAGAGGTTTTACCGTATCGGGAGTTCCCACTTGTTCTTTTTCTGCAAATGTGACACTCAGTTTTATTTTTAAATGCTGACATAAATTGAAAGTCTTTTATAACCTCTGAAGCCTGGTTCTCAAAGTGCAGTCCATGGATCCTTGGAGGCTCCCAAGGTCCTTTTGGGGGATCGATGAGATCAAAACTATTCTCATAATACTAAGATGTAATTGCCTTTTTTGAGTGTGTTGACACTTGCTCTGATGGTGCAGAAGCAATGGTGGGGAAAGCTGTGGGAGCCTTAGCTTGAATTGAGTTAGTGGCACTCAACTGTCCTAGAAGTCATTGTATCCTTCACCTCCACATACAGTAAAAAAGAATATCCCTGATGAAGCAGTAAAAATTACTAATTTTATGAAAGCTTGACCTTGAGTTACATGTTTTTAAAAATAGTCTGTGTGAAGGGGAATTACAAATAAAGCATTTTTGCTACATACGATTACTTGTCTCAAGGAAGAGGACTGGGGAGATTGAGTTAAACTATAGTTATTTAGACTTGGGTATTTGGCAGACATTTTCTGGAAAGCAATGAGCCTGTCATTTTAAGAGAAACAACGCACAGTGATAAAATTAAAGATTTCAAGTGAAAATATGAATTTTTTAAAAACTTGCATCTTCCTCTGTGAACTTGACAAATTCCTAATGAACCATTGACGACTCTTATGATATTGGTGGTGATACTAATGAATGTGACTTTTTTGAAACTGAATAATGAAATGTGTCAGCATTTGGAAAAGCACTGCATAACTCAGTGAACTCATATTTTCCAAATGTCCATTGCATGATTTTAAAAAAACATGAGTGTCTAAAAGATCCATTCAAAGTGCAAGATTGGCTAATGAGTTTTAATGTAACAGAGTGTGAGAAGTTCCTTGATATGGTTTCAGATTCCACAATCCAGTTTAACCATTAAGAAACCACCACTTGTTGAGTTTTGGTCTAGTATCAAAGGAGAATAACCATAATTATCTGAAAAGACTATTAAAATACTTTTCCTTTTACAACAATATGTCTACATGAGGCTATTTTATTTCCCATATACTTCAACACAAACAATGGATCACAACATGAATGAAGCAGCAAATGTGAGAAGCCAGTTGTTGTCTATTTAGCCAAAACTTTAGATTTGCAAAATTCTTTTCAAAATTTTTTGCTGTGGAAAATGTAGTTATTTTCACAAAAATATGTTATGTTAACATGTGATGGATTTATTAAGTGAATTCATAAGATTCTTTAAAAAATATTATCAGTTTTATTTTTAAGAGTTTAAAGTGGTTCTGACATTATGAACTTTGAGAACCACACCTCTGATGTGGTACAATTAAATTTTCCTATGAATTTTTATGATTTACCAATGCATGAGATTGCCATCTCGTGACAAAATAGGGAAATGCAGGTATTTTTGAAAAGCTCAGCTTTAAGGACTTGGAGCGATTTCTAATGACTACTTGTTGGAAATTTATCAAGAGAAAGATGTAAGTTCAGATTTCCAAGGGCTATGTCTTAAAATATTATGTGCCAAAAATATTAATTTTCAGAAAGCAAGCAAAAAACAGTTAATTAAATGGGTATTTTTAAAGGGCTGACATTGGTTTGGGGCCAGTCTTCTGTTAAGAACACGTTTAGTTTTTATGTTCAGTATGTATATTTCCTATTACACAGAGCCCCTTTGTATGTGATGTTATATACTGCTCGAATGTGTATTTACTGTTCAAAACACTGATAAATGTTTGTGGTGATATTCTGGTGGCATACAGTAGTCCCCCTTTATCCTCAGGGAATGTATTCCAAGATCCCCAGTGGATGTCTGATTCTGAGGATAGTATGGAACCCTATACAGACTGTTTTCCCTATACATTTATACCTACGATAAAGCTTAACTTATAAATTAGGCACAATAAGAGATTAACAACAACAATAAAACAGTTATATCAATATGCTGTAATAAAAGGTGAATGTGGCTTCTGTCTCCAAATATCTTATTGTACTGTACTCACCAATTTTCAGACCCCCATTGGCCTAGGGTGACTGAAACCGTTGAAAGTGAAACTGCAGATAAGGGGGGGATTAGTGTAACATCACTAATGATTGACTTAAGGTTTAGTCATTGGTTGGTACCACAAACTTGGCTGATAATATTCTTTCTAAGGGAAATGTGATCAATTCTTTGTGATGTAGAGTTTAAGTCCACACTCTGGTAAAGAGTTTGAATTTGCTGCCCTTAAGTACTACATCACTGTAGTTCTGTGTGATGTGTCCTGTACAAACATGCAGAGTGAACATCGTTCCTTGCCTTCTGCTTTCTTGAGCACTAAAATACACAGTGTCAATATGCACAAACATGTGGAAGGACATATAGACAAATACAGCCTTAGCCAAGTCATGAGAGATGCAGCTGCAAGAAACAGGCTCATGCATAATGAACATTTATGCTATGGCATAGCTTGTGTTTTTGCATCGATGAGCTGTGTGAAAAGGAAGGAACCTCACTTCATTTTCATTCAGTTAGAATGAAGGCCCACTGGTCAGTTTTTTGACTCAGTTCAGCTGATTGTTTTCAGAATAATCTGTTCTTTTCTAACAGTTGTGTGTAGGGACAGCCGCACTCTGATGAAATGACTGTGAGCCTATATGCTAACTACTGTACGAATTTTCTGCCTATATTCACTATGTACCCAGTGACCCTGCTGATGAATATTTTAGACATCTTCATGAATAATGTGACTGCCCACAGGAGAGCTGCTTGCGTGTTTGTAAGGCTGGACATGCTATCAAGATGATACCGACTCCAATTCTATGTACTTGTGTGAAGATAATAAAATACCTAAGTAAGGTTGTTGGTCAAGATTGTCTTTGAGGAATCATGGATGCTCTGAAATTGGATGCCAAATTTTACATGTAGGTGGATGTATGTGTTTTTTGAGAAAACACCACAGCTTTTATCAGACTCTCCAAAGGGATGTGACCTCATAAAGACTAAGAACCACTAGATAAGCTTTACAGTTTTGAAAGTGCTTCTCCATACATTTTTATTTGATCCTCCCAATGATTTTGAGGGAGGCATGTTGGGCATTCTCTCTCTTTCTCTCTCTCTCTCTCAACAGAAGAGCATGACTCAGAGCTTAAGTGGTTTTGTGCTTCATCCTGTAAGCACTAGGAGCCTTTGAGGGTTTTAAGTAAGGAAGTGATCTGATCAGATTGTCCTTTACAGAGATTGCTCTGGTGGTAGCGTAGAGGATGTTTTAGGGGAGTAGGAGGCTAGTTAGGACATCATTGGGAAAATCATGTAAGAAAAGATGGTTGTCTCTAAGTTTGTTGCAGTCAGATTGGAAAAGAGGGGAGGAATTTGCTAAACAGCTTTGATTTTGAAGAACTGATGGAACCTCAGGGAGAAAAGACTAGTAAGCAATTGGAAGTTCTAGTCTGGGACTGGTGAGGTGAGGAGGACCTCACGCAGGGTGTATAGAGTGAGAAGTGAAGAGTTTCTGGGGAGAAAATGTCAACTAGGTGTTTGGCTGGAGTTATGGTCTTAGGGAAGTTCCGAGAGATCCAGGAGGGGCCAAGGAACATCACTTTTTTCACTCCATTCTCTCTATTCCTGGGTTGGCAAGTAGGGATTAAATATATTTTTTAACCTTGTTCATTTACTATCAGATTATTTCCATTTTTATTTCTCAAGGACTTTAAATTTATGAAATTTACATAAATCAGTCATACCACTCTAATCCACCTTCTACTCAGTGGAGGCATCAAGCAAAGGATGGGTTAAGGGTACTCCCCTATAACCAGTATGATCTTCTCCATTCTTAGGTGTGGAAATTGACACATTATCAAGTATATGTAAGTACCATACCATTCCAACTTTACATACCTCTCACCACCCCTACCGCACCTCACCTCCCTAATAACACTTTTGGGACCATGGCTGCTTCAAGATCAGCTAACTTTTTCCTCAGTGATTCGATGCAGAATCCTCAGTAAGTAGAGCATTCCTTTTGATGGCTTTACTAATACCCAGATCTCGTAGTTCTTTAAATCCCTCAACTAAAATGACCTTCATCTTCCTTTCACTTTGGCTGTGCACACACATGCCACACCTAATAGATCTGCTCCACTTTGAATATTTCAAACTCTATTAGTCTTTGCTTTGAAATAGCCTTCTAACTTCTACCTGCCCCATCCATGTTTCTTCTCAACCTGTCTTCTCTTCTACTGTTCCATTTCTTGTTCTGTCCTTGTTTTCCAGTGTGGGAAGATAGGGAAGGGAAGAGGCTGGCAACTCTCTTCAAATCCCTGCTTCCGTACTCAGCCCACAACTAATCAGATGGTTCAGTAATGATTGTGCTTACCCTGCAGACTTCCTCACACAGTATTCTTTGAGAATTTCCAACTCAGGTTCTTTTCCTGTTTCCCCCCCACTCCCCCTTATGTTCAGGCACCTGGGCATTGTTAGTAAATTTCATAAAAACTGGGACAATTGGATCAATAAATGTATGTAGAATAAAGAAATCTATCAAATCTTTTGCCATCCAGGGGAGGGGAACCTTAGGACTGTGTTGAACTCAAAAAAAAAAAAAAAAAGGTCCATATTTCATTTTAGTTACATCTCAACTAGCTCTGCCTATGTGAATATTTGTATGTGTGTCACCTGATAGTGGTCAGAAATTTGGGTCCTTCATACTTTTATTTCTATTAGAAAATCAGCCTTTGTACCCATTTTTTTTTCCTTACTGGTATAGACTTGGTAAAATCTTGATAAAATTTTTCTGCACATATTTACTCTGTTTGAGTTAGGAACTGAACTGTGTGAATGCTTTTTCTTCTAAGCCATGAGTGATATTTATTTATTTTATTTTTGTCAGTTGTTTCCATGGTTCATGAATTCTTTATTATAGTAGGAGTCATCAATTGGATGGAGAATCATTGAAATTGTAAGTTTAGGACATTAGTTGGAATAACCTGAACAATGTGCTTACCTTTTGGGCCCTTAATTTAATTTAAAATTAAATGAGTCTTATGATGGCAAGCTTCACAGATCTGCCTGCAGGGCTTTCAGAATGGAAATGTGCGTCTCTGTGTGTGGGAGGCTCTTTTGTTTAGTTGGAAAGACTAGGAAATCTTTGCCTAAAAACCCTCATTGTTTGGAGAGCATAAATAACTGAACATAATGTTAGTGAGAAGTTTCATTTGAGATTGAACCACTGACTTCCAAGAATATAGCAGTGAGTGGAAGTGCTATGAACAATGTCTTCCTTATTTCCTTTAAAATACCCAGGAAATTGTCTTAAAAAAAACCCAAATCCCCAGAAGTAACTACAATGAGTGTCAGGCATTGAGCCCATTCTAGTTTCTGGAAGGAATTTTACATTCTTTCCTGTAGTTGAAATCAGATGGAGTTGCCGCTTCTTCACCAGGACCCCCAACCTGCAACCTGATGCCTCCTCCTCACTTCCCTATTTCAGCCACTAGTCATGGAATCCTGCTCCACACATATGGCTTGTTTCCCTTTTGTTCATGTCCAGTGCTGCTGAGTGTTAGTTGATTCTGTAACAGCTGCTAACATGCTCCTTCTTTGACTTACGCAGCTTCTGGATGGGGTGGAGGTGGTCCTCATTGAACTGACTCCTGGTTCCCACTCAGGTTCTGGGCTGGTCTGTGACGTTAGGTGCTTGAAAGTCAAGAACCAGGATTTACACCTGCTTCCAACCATCCTTTGGCTCCACTTTGAACACAAAGGCATCTGCAAAGACCTCTACGTTCAGTCACTAGTGTGGGATTTTCTTATCTCCTCCATTAGACTGAGCTCCATGAGGGTGGGGAAGGAAAAGATGGGGGTGGGAGTAGCTTCCTTCTCATTGAATCCGCAACACCCAGAATAGTACTTAGCACGTGTTGGGTACTGAAGACACGTGTCAAACTCATTAATGTAACTCAATCATTGGGAAGGACTTAAAAGCAGTCCTCAAGCATGGTAAGCACTGAGGGCCAAGGTCAAACCAAGCCCAAGGATGTAAAAAAGAAATGAAATCACATATTATAGATGAGTAATTAAAACAAAATTCTACAGCTCCAAAGCAAAGAAGTTATAGAGATCTATAGCAATATCTTTCTGAAACAATTTTGCTTTATGAAACAGTTGTAAAAGCTCTGCTTTGTAAACTCAGTAAGATACCTGAAGAGTTTACATCTAGTAAATGAGAATTTTAAAAAGAATAAAATGAAATGAAAATTATAGTAGATAAAATAAATCTTCATTGTAATAAAAAGCTGACTGTACTTAGAAAATTCATCCAGTTGATATGGACAGGAGGCAGGGAAATACTGGGTAAAAGAGGGTGGTTCCCTGGCAAAGGCCCCACTCTCAAGCCCAGAAACCCATGGCCCTAAATGGGAACAGGCATTCCTGTTTTCACACCCAAATGTTCTCTTTTGGCTGCACCTCTCTATCCTGTACCCATATAAACCCCAGACCCTAGGCTCCACAAGTAGAAGAGCAGAGGAGCAGAAGAGCAGCAGAAGGACACGGCAGAGAAGGAGAGAAGAGAAGGAACATCTCAACACTGAGAAGAGTTCAGCTAGGGATGGCTGGAGAGGAGATGGGCCATGGGATGGTCATGTTCCCGCTCCATCTCCTTTCCAGCTCCCCATCCATTCTGCTGAGAGCCATCTCCATCCAGCAATAAAATCCTCCGCATTTACCGTCCTTCAGTTTGTCTGTGTGACCTGATTCTTCCTGGACACAGGACAAAATCTCAGGTACCAAGAGGGCACTGAGCTGGTTAACACTTAAACCGTCTGTGGACAGCAGAGCTAAAAGAACACTGTAGCACACCCACTGGGGCTTTGGGAGTCACAGGCACCCAGCCCTAGATGCTACTGGGGGACCAGCTCCCAAAAGTGCTCTGCCCGGCTCCTGCACCTGCCCATCTGTGTGCTCGCCCTCCCGTAAGGTGTTCGAGCATGCAGCAGCCCAACAGACGAGCCACACTCCTGTTTCATGTCTTGTGCAGGGGTTCAGGGAACTCTTTTGTTTCATACTGATCGAGGATAGACTTCAAAAAATTGCCCAGACTGCAGCAAAGAAGCCCGGAAAGACACAGATCCAACCTAGAACTGATGGGGATTACTGTGGAAGACACAACAAAATCCACTGTGATAACTGTTGGAGGGACATTTTTCAGTTCTAAAAGACCTGATCTTGGGTACTGATATACCATACCACATTCCAGGTACACTTTCTCATTATAAATCAACACTGAAAAATATTCAGATTTTTTTTTAGCTAGAAAACTTGCAGGTAGAGTAAGGAAGTATAAAAGTGCTAAATTATTTGTCCTTCATTTAAAAGAGACTAAAGTGATCTTTTGGGATTATGTTGAGAGTAGTTAAATAGCAGCTGAAAGTTTATTAAAATTTATTTATTTAAATTTAATAGTTCATTAAAATTTATTGAAAGTTTATTAAAGTTATAAAAATAACTAATAGAAGTAAAAAACAGGATGCCTATAAAAGTTAATACAGAAAACAGAATCAAATAAAACACCATAATCTCATCGGGCTACAGAGAAACGGAATCGTTCTACTTTCTTTCTTTGTCTCTCATTTACATCTCCTTAGCACGTCCCAAAAGATATACTGATAACTTCCATAGGGACTTTTTTAGCCCACTAAAAGTTCTTTTGTCCCCCCAAAAGAGATAGGGTTTTAAATATATATATATATACAGTGTGTGTGTATATATATATTTATATTTAGATAGTATATCATTAATTTGACTCATAAAAATTATAACATTCCTTTCAAACAACTGTGTGATATAGGTAGACGAGAATTTAGCACATAAGATATTGCCTTATCTTTTTGCAAAAATATGTAATTCACCTGTCATGGTGCATGGTAGGCACTAAAGAAATACTGTTGAAGGAATGAAGACATATATAACTTAACTAGCTGTATACTTGGGAAAATGTAATTTCATCTACAAACAATAACTTTATAAATAATTGAACTGTTTCTCACCCATTAAATTTACTGTGAAATCTGGACAAACATCTGTCATGATGTAAGCCATGGAAGAAATGTTGAGATTAGCATGCAGTAATGAACATGGTAGTAAATGCTGGGGAAGGCAGAAATTAGAAGAGACTTAAATAAGTCCTAATTTTTAGGTTCTCAAAAGGTTAATTCGGATTGTTCTGAATGTCTTCATATCAGAGAGACTTGGCCAATCTTTAAAAAAAAAAAAAAAAAAATCAGAGGTCAACAGAAGTGATTAAGCAGCTAGGAAAATCAACTCAGAAAGAAGATCTTAGTATATAATTTGGAAAAAGAATTTGAATCTCTCAAAACCCAGAGAAACAGAAGGATAATTTAGAATGCTTTGTAGAGCTGTGGAGCTGATGGCATAAAATTAAGTAGAAAAAAATACTTACTGTGTGTAAGACAGTTCTTAATAGACAGACAAATTAAAGAACCATATAGCATTCCAAAGAAAGGAGTAAAGTTGTTTTGATAGAATCTGACACCCCAAAGACAGACAAGTGCTAACATTTATTGAGTACTTACAATGTATCTGGTACTCTGTATGCATAATTTAATTTAATCTTGCAGTAATCTGTGACGTAGGTACTAATACAATCTTCACTTTACAGATGAGGACATTGAGGCTTGGTCACATGAGTCTGGTAGGAGATAGTGCCGTATTTTGAACTCTTGTTCTGGAGTTCAGCCTGCATCACTATACTCTCCTGCCTTCTAATAATGAAGTTGGGTCTCAGTAGGTGTGTTGTGCAGAGGTTTGACAGAATAACCGAGCTGGTTTTCCAAATGCTGAATAGGTGATCCTAACAAGCCATTTTAATTAAGTTAAAAACATAATCTCTTATGTATTCCAATCAAAAGTGTACTTTTGTTCAGTCTTCTGGATGAATGAATCCTTGCAGAAAAAAGATTTGTATATGAAAAGGCATTCTTAATGCAGATTTAAAATAAACAGGTATTAGTCTCCTGGACCCAATAGAGTGAGCAGCATCCAGCAAGTGCCAGCCTTGCAGGAGGTTTGATCCGCTGGAATGTTGACTGCGTGGTAGTGTATAGGGGATTGGAGAGAGAGGCTTGGGTTGAAATATTCCCGATCTACCTTTCCTTTGCTTATTACCTCAAATAAGTCACCTAACCCCTCTGAAAATAACAACACTACTTATCTCATGGAGTAGAGAATCTGATATGATATGTAAAGATAGCCTGCACATATGCAAACTAGGTAGTATGCATGTAAAGATGGCAAGTAGATAAGATAGCATGTATATAAAAATAGTATGTATGTCTTTATATGTAAAATGCTTAGCTCAGAGCCTGACACATAATGCATATTTGATTAATAGTAGCTGACATTATTATTATTTATTATCCAGATACAATCTTCAAGTAAGTACCTTAGAAAGCATAGCCCAGTGGTACCCTAAGGTAGTAAGTTTTAAAAAAGATTTTAATTTTATGCAGTCCTCTCAGATAACATATTTAATAGTAAAATTTCACCCTCCGTGTACCCTTTTCACAATTTGGGAATTTACCGAATGCTTTGGTGTTTTAAAGGCAGTCGTTTGTTCACTGAAAATGCAGCTTATGACAAATTCAATGGTTGCCAAGCTCTAATATGTTAGCAGGCAAAAGCATGCTTTTAATATTCATCATCTTTAAGTGCTACCAACTGACATTCAGTACTAAATGTGCAGATATGGGTGCTGAGCAAAACAGAGCTAGGAAGAGGACTCGCTATTTTGTATTCTAGATGGAAATCTTAAATTAGTTTCCAAGATTTTTAAATGGATTTTTAAATGCTGGGCACATAGGAGATTGAGTTCATATTAATATTTATAAGGTTTGAGAAGATATTTAGTGAAATATTTGTATAATTTAATTTTGGTCATAATCAAGTAGGAAACCATAACAAGAAGGATATTGTACTTTAGTCTGGTGGCTGCTTTGTGACTTACAGTTAGGAATATCCTTCTGGAAAAGCCCTGAATGATACACACATGTATGTACATGCTTCAAAAGTTCTTCTTTATTAGAACCCAGAAACCAGAGGTTATTTGTGTATAAATACCTTGGGTTGGATTGTTTTGTGTTAATTTTAAGTTAATTAATTTAGAAATCAGTGTTGATAATGATTTCTTTAAAAGCATTTATTGACAGTTCGGCAGAACTCTATAATCTAGCTGCTTTTATATTCTTTATTATACAGAACAGCTCTGTTGGTTCACAGAAAACCTGCTTCCTGTAGTTTTGCTTAGGGCTAATTGAGTTTAATGTAGTTTTGTGTGCAGAAGGTATTGACTTGTGCATAGTATTTAATTTGTGTAAATATGTGTGTATGTAATGTTTTGCCCCTCTGAGTTTTATTTTAAATGTAACCCTTGAAACTGGGATAATAGAAATTCTTAGCCTAGGCCTGCTAGCAATTGCAGGTGCCAACGGTTTAAACTGCTGTAGAAATACAATTATGAGCAGCCAAGAGCAAATCTTGTTTTAAGGTCCATGTGTAATGAATACCTGTTAGTATCATAGAATACAATTAAAAAGAGGTTTACCTCTCCTAAGCTGTGATTGGTTCTTTCTGATGGAAGTGTAGAGTCCCATGAGTAGAATGTGTATTCAGCTCTTGGTGATTTAGACTCCAGTGAGTCTGGCGTTCTGCAGGCTTGGATAAATTCAGGGCAGTTATAGTCAGGCAGAGATGGGAAAAGACTGAAAGATTAATGAGGGAGCTTAAAACAAAGCTTCAAAAATGAGAGCAACACACTGCTTGGTCTTATGTAATTGTGCCGAGTAGAAGTCAGTCCTGGCTGCTGCTGTTTAAAAATTTTAGGAGGTTGGCAGAAAATATTTGTTATAAAAATTGGATCTTGAGAATAATAGTGAAAATTTAGGACATAAGATCTAATTCTTGCTTGCTTGTGTATGCCCTCCAAGACACACCCTTCATCCTGCTTTTATTCCAGTTTGACCAAGGCCCTTGCTTCCCCGCTGCCCCCCACCACTTCTTTTCAGCAAGGACCCTTATTGATGACTGATGTCCAAGCCCTGGCTGCCTCCAGGAGGTGCACGTCTGGGACGTGCTCCTAGAGGTCACGTTGATGCTCTCTCACTACAAGGCCTGAAAGATCGGGAGCATATAGAGGTGTGAGAACCCTCTGGGGAGAGAATCCAAGGGATTGTTGGTGACCTATGGCCATTTCTGGTTGATGGTTTTAAATAGCAGTGGGTTAACATTTTTTTCTATAGAACTTAACTTAAGGGATGCTAATGGCTTTAAAATGCTATTTTGCCTTTGAAAATCCTTTTAATAGATGCTCTAACGAACATCCATTTACGTGATAGGCACGGTTGAGCTCTGCAGTGAAGCTGGTCGTACTGTTAATGTGAAGCTGGGTGCTTAAAGGGGAAAAAGCAGCTCATAAATAACGTGGCGCAGGTGAATCACTTCTGAAATCTAGAGCTTGCCAATACCAGTGAAGAAGAGCTGCCTTGGAGGAGAAATTGCCAACTCACACAAGCAAATTCTTTAGCGCTTCAATCTAGACACACACCAGCCTTTTAACTTTGCTTTCTGTTTCCTCTTCAAGGAGTTTGTCGCCACCTACAGGAAACAGGAAGCACAATAACCCAGTCAGTCTCTGAGTGACACCTGGTTTCTTCCATTGGTCATTCCTCATCGCAGTTTTTATATTTTATCACTTGTTCATCATATAGTATTTATCAAGCCTTTTTCTTGGCTATGGAATGAGGCTAAGCTCTATGGAAGAAAAGATTCCATCTGCACTAGCTGTTTGGCAGGAGATTCCTCACCCTTAATTGTTTTTTAAGGTCTCTGTCTGTTTCTGCTGTCATGTACCTTTTCCACAAACACACCAACAAGAGAGAACAGACTTATCGATTGGGGCTCAGTAGTATAGCATGTAAAAGTACTAGTGCTGACTTATTCACAATTTTGCCTTCTTTTGTTTGTTGGAGAGAGCGTGGCACCAAAATCATCATTTTTATTGTTGCTGTTGTTTATTTGTTTTCTTTTGCCTTATTTGGAGAAAAATGTTAGGTAGTTAAAAACCTACATAGCAGAGAAAGTTCAAGATGCATGATGCAGTTCAGAGAAGTCTAAAGGAAGACATGTGATTACTTTTATGGGTGCATTAAGGATGCTGAAGAGATAATTAGGATCAATTCTTTTCATTCATTAGCATCTCATAACTATATCACTGAGTTAAGTTATTCCCCATTGTGTGAAACAAGAGTGAGTTGGCTTGAAAGGAGTTAAGAAGAATGCAGGGTTTTTCTCCTTGATATATGAATGACTGTGGCTCTTTCTTTTCCCACAGCATCTTTAACCCACGCCCTCTCCCGAACTCCTTCTGGGTTCTTTGTATGGCTATCTGCTTCTCTCTCCTGCAACAGCAACTTACATATCCTAGACCAGGTTCATTGTGGCACAAATTAGATTAATCCCACTTTTTTTTTTCCTTTTTCATATCTCTTCTCTTAAAAGAGCAACAGAAACCACTGCCACATAATGAATCCTCCTTCAGAATATTTATGTTTTGTTTTGTTCTCCTTTTCCTCCTCCCTCTTCCTTTGGGCAAGTGATACTATAATCATCCACTGTCCTAGGAACTAATTCTTACTTATCTTTCTCAGTTCAACATCTGTCTACTACTAAGTCCAAATAAGTTGCTTTACCTTTGTAACATTTCATGAATTTCCATGACCTGAAACTAAATCTGTTGCTTTATTCTTCTTATGGCCATTTCATCATCTTGAATGTTCTGTACCTCAGCCTCTTCTGCATCAAATTCTTACTAGTTGACTTTTAGTAGATTTGGGAAATGGGCTGTTGGCTAGAAAAAGCTATCTAATCAAGTGAAATTTCACCCACCTACTTCCCCGCCCCATGCTTCCATGTTTATGCTGTGGAATTTCAAGACTGGTTTTAGGTATTATCTTAGAGTTTTTATTTAAACATTAAAAGTAACTTAGGGTAAGAAAATACATTAGTGGCTTGTTGGGAAATGTTACATAGTGCTGGAAGATTATAGATATTTTATGTATTTCTAACAAATAGTTGATTAAAAGTTGCTCAAAATATGTAGTACATTTGTCCAAAGAAGATATACACATCACCAATAAGCATGCAAAGATGTTCAATGCCATTAGTCACTGGAGAAATGCAAATCAAAACCACAGTGAGGTACCACTTCAGACCCACTAGGACAGCTAGAATTGCACAAGAAGACAATAGTAAGTGTTGGCAAGGATATGGAGTAACTGGAGCTCTTATATATTGCTAGGGGTAATGTAATATGGTACAGCCAGTTTGGAAACAGCTTGACAGTTCTTCAAAGTATCAAACATAGAGTTACCAATATGACACAACAATTACACTCCTAGTTATATACCCAGGAGAATTAAAACATGTGCCTGTGCAAAACATGTACATGAATATTATTTATAACATAATGCATTATATTATTAAGCAGCGTGATTCATAATAACCAAAAAATGGAAACAATATCCAATATCCATTTATGATGAACAAACAATATGTGGTATAGCCAAACAACGGAGTATTACACAACCATTAAACAGAATGAAGTACAGATACATTCTATGACATGGATAAGCCTTGAAAACATTATGCTAAGTGGAAGAACCCCAAAGGCCACATATTATATGATTTCATTTATGTGAAATCTCCAGAAAAGTCAAAAGCTGTAGAGACAAAAAGTAGATTAGTGGTTGCCATGGGTTGGGATAAGAGATGAGCCAGAAGTGTCTATCAGTGGATATAAAGTTTCTTTTTGGGATGAAGACAATGTTCTGAAATTAGATAGTGGTAATAGTTGCACAACTCTATGAATATATTCAAAGCCATTGAACTGTACACTATAAACAGGTGAGTTCTGGGATATATGAATTAAAACCAATAAAAGTGTTATATATATTTGACATAAGACTGTATCTTATGAAGTCATTGGCAGCTGTATATACTTAACAGCCTGCATTGGATTCATTTTTGTGTCTTCCAAAATACTAAACACAATGCATCGCATATGTAAGCCTTTGATAAATGGTTGAAGAATGAATGAGTGGATGATTCAATAAACATTCACGAGTGGTCTTGTTATAGTGTGTGGAAGAATTTTTTTTGGCAAGTGCTACCAGAGAGAGGTAAAGAACAATGGCCACGAATTAAAGCTTCTGTCCTCCTGTTCACTTAGGCTGACAGTTCAGCTGTCCTGTCATTGATCTGATGTCAGTCTGATAGAATCATTCTATGCTTTGACGCCAGCTAGATGGTGTATTTCTTTTTTCTTTTGAGTGATAGGTTGGCAAAATGTACTTTAGCGACTGTATGTTATGTGGATGATGCATGATACCAGTGCTCTGTTGTGACCTTTATTTTTATGAGCTGTGAGAATTAAGAACCTACCAGTTTTAGTTTAATTAAGCAGTAAGACACAGCAGATGGTGCGTTTGTGGGTGATGATTGCATTCCACTGGTTCCCTCAAGCAGCACTCTAACCCTATGGAATGCTTTGCCTGGAGTATCATGCCACTGTTGCAAAATTACCAGGAAGACAAACACATTGTAATAATGTAGTCAGAAAATCTTGGAGGACAGTTTACAAAAGGACCTGAACACCACAGGAGTTTTAGCAGTTAGCAGCTACTGGAACTAGGATATTAAGGAGAGGAATTCATGACATAATGGTTGTAGCGGTTTACCACCTATCTTTACTTTTCAGTATTTGCAAATAAAGTATATGGAGATTTTTATTACCCTAGTTTTCTTTTGTGTAATCTAAGTCAAACATTAAAAATGCATTGGAATACGATTTGCATGTGTTAAAGTGCTCAGAGAAGTTTCGGTAAATGGAGAAATACTGAATTGATGTCAGGTTGTTTTATTATGTTTGCTTTTAGTCACTACAGAGAGCCTAGAGTGTCCTACAAAATGCATTTTTTCCCAAGAACTGTGTTTTTACCGCTAGCATATTTACTCCATAGAATGTTGAAAATGTACCTAAGCAGAGAGAATATAGAATTAATCCAGTACTTCTTACCAATCTTGCAACTGTTTAGGAAGCAAACCAAATTGGTAAGTAGAATTGCTTTCATTGTCAAGGGAGAGACTGCCTCGGTCAGAGTCTTTTCCCTTCACTGTCTTTGAAAAACTGAATTACTTGAAGGCTGGCATAAAACTTACAATTGCACAATATTTTAGATCCTAAGATAATATGCCTCAATTTTTCTCATTAATGCAATATATGAAATCATCAAAATGAAATACATTCACTTACTGGCTGTAATGTTGTTAAAAGTATGAACTATGTGGATTTTAAAAAAATATAGCAATGGTTGCTTTAGATAGAAAAATCATTTGTCTCATGTCTTTGCTACAAAGGAAGACTAGATTTGAAATTCTAGTAAAATAATGAAATTCAAAAATAATATTTTAACAAGAGAATATAAATTCTCTTTGGAAAAGCCCACATTTTATATTGATTTTTCCTCTGTGTTACATACAGAATTTCTTTCCTTCGATTTTTAGGGGAATTTTCATCACAAAACATGTGACTACATCATCCTTCTGCTTGGAGACCTGACTTATATTTAATTAAAGGAAACATTTTTTTTTTTTCTGGATTCCCACCAACTTCAGGATACTCAAGCATTGAAGATAAAACTAAAGGTCTAAACACTAATTTTGCAATTCTTCTTGTAGGAATAAAATATTATTAACCTTTTAGTTAATACTAGTTTATAATATAGTATAGGGAAATACTATAACACCTACCTGCACAGGAAATTCAAAATAATAACTGATTTTATCCTATACATTATTCAAGATTCTGGCACAAGAAATTACATATTATATTTATATGGAAACATGCTTTACTGCAAAATCATTGGTATTTCATTTCTTTACAGAACTAGATTTTCATCTAATTAAAATTTAGAAAAGCACTCATCATGGTAGCTCACATCTGTAATCCCAGCACTTTGGGATGCCAAGATGGGAGGATTGCTTGAGCCCAGGAGTTCCAGACCAGCCTGGGCAACATAGAAAGACCTTGTCTCTACAAAAAATAATTTTAAAGAAATTAGTCGGTCATGGTGGCATGTACTGGCAGTCCCAGCTACTCGGGAGCCTGAGGTGAGAGGATCGCCTGAGGCCAGGATTTTCGGCTGCAATAAGCTGTGCAATGATCACACTACTGCACTCCAGCCTGGGTGACAGAGCAAGATACTGTCTCTAAAAAATACATGAATGAATGAATAAATAAATAAAATTTAGAAAAGATGGAACTAGATTGTTTCCTATTTACTGAGTATATAGGTAACTTGCCAATTTTTTGGTAGCTCTGTTTAATAAAAATACACTACAGGATTCCCAAATAAGGCCACAGCAGGAAGATAAAATTATGCTTGATAATTTTAGGGTTGTTAGGATTATTTATTTTAGTTCTCTAAAATTGGTAAGATGTTAATTCTTCATCATCTACATGGTTTATCTAATGGTAATACCTTCCTTTTCGAATGATGATGCATATTTTGCATTATTTTTGTATTAGAGGAAGTAACAAAATCGGTCAGGATGTACATAAACCAATAATTGACAATCTGCACCTGTAACCTCAATTGCTCCCTTGAGCAGTCTGGCCCTTTTTGTTAAGATCATAGAATTTAGAATCAAAGAATTGCCTTCCGTTTCTGACTATGCTACTTATTAGCTGTGTGACTGTTTATTTTAGGAGTACTTTTTGGCTCCCAAAGAATTGGCAGGGTACCTATATAATGAGTAAATGGGAATATAATTCTACCTGCAAAATCACCAAAATAGTGATTTAAATAATGTTTTTTAAAAACATTATTTAAAGTAGAAAGAAGTAGAGAGATAGGCAATCCAGGGCAGGTATGGTGCTTCCACAAAAATCTTGAAGAATTCAGCCTTCTTTTTTTCTGCTTCACCATCCTCAGTTGGTGACTTTTTTCCTGATGGTCATCTCATGGTCTAAGATGGAGTTTTTGCCAGTGCTGCTGCCTGTTAGGCATCAGGAAAGACGAAGAGCTTCTTTTGGCAGAACCAGTTTCTTTTCCAACCCACGCAACACTTCCACTTAAAGCTCATGACCTAGATGTGAGGGAGGTAGGAAATGTTATCTTTGCCAGGCACAGCTTAAAAAGAGGGGTTTTGTTACCAGGGACAGAGAGAAGAATGGATGTTTGCGAGGCAACTAGCATTCTCTGCCATAGTGACCTTGGATCCTTTCATCTCATTGAGCCTCAGCATTCTTGTCTATAAAAAATGGTTGTAAAAACAGGATCTAATTCAAGATCCTATTGTTTTGAGTATCAAGTGAGTTAATGCATCTAATGCATTAAGCACGGTGTCTGGCATGTAAGTAAGCAATAAATGTTAATTGTTATTCTTGCTACTTCCTTAATATCTCTAGGTTAATGTCCTATAGATACTTAAAATGCTTATGTGTATTATAGATTCTTACTGCATTACCTAGCTCACCACCTACCTATTCCAACAGGCTGGAAATCTCAGAGCAGTCTTTATGTCTTTATTGCTGTCTGTACCTAAAAGTCATCAAGTGTAATTCTGCCTGCAAAATTCTTCATGGATTTCTCAAATCTGTCCCTCCATTTCCATTCCCATATCTGAATTCAAACCGTCATCTTTCCTTGCCTTCTACACATCTCCACTATCTACAAGATCACATCCAAACTCCTTAGAATAGTATTCATGTCTTCATATAGTCTGATTGCAGTATTAAAAGCTTAATCTTGATTTCACCACATCTCCCTAGTCTCCAGATCACACATTTCTTGTACTCTTAACTTCACTGAAAATTCACTATTCCCCAAATAGGACATTATGATTCTAGTTTCATCTTCAGGGTAAATTTTTATGAATTTTCAAGTTGAAACTTGAGGAAACTAAGCATAGATGTGTTTCAGCCTATAATTTTGAACATTAGAATGTGATTTCTGGAAACTCCTTTGTGATTTTATTTATGAGGACAACAGACGGACAGGTATTCCAGTATTTCTTATCAAAGCTGAGTATCTAAATGTACAAATGTGAAAGAACAAAGGGCTTTTAAGTGAAAGGAATGGATGGAAGGGAGTTGATGCATTTCTAATGGATGGGTTAGTTTGTTCAGCAGTTTTGAAAGTATAGGTTTAGATCTAGAGACTCGTTTTTACTTTGCATTAGTTTAGGTACTTAATGTGAATGTTATATATGCATTTTGCTTTCAAATTTAAAAAATAAGTAGGGAAGGTTAGCTTTACTTTTATTGTGTGTGTGTGTGTGTAATGTGTAATGGGACGTATAATGTAATTTCAAAGCCCTCTGATGCAATATTTTGGAAATAAGTTGGTAGTACAATTAAAACATATCTTTGGTCATAGATTACTTGGCCTTATGCCATTTTCATAGGCAATGTCCTACTTAAATAGCCTGGATTGGCTGAGAAAAATAATTGCTGCTATGAAATAATTTTGCAATTACCACTGTAATTAAGGGCAGTTTGTTAATGAAAGTGCTTGGTGAATAATGACTGCAGGGCACTCCATCTTGCCGCTTCATGCCAGATGATTGGTTCATGTGGTGGAGGTAGTTAGGGAATTAGTGACACAGCTGTCATGGTTACAGGATGGATGTAAATATCCTTTGCAGTTGATGATGAAGAACAGTCATTAGCCTCCTGCCCCTTGGGAACTGGTCAGAGGAACAAAAATAAACTTAACACATGATGGTAAAAGCCATTCCTTATGTCTCCTTTTCTTCAGTATGAACAATTAACATTCTAATAGAAACTGCAGAGAGCATGTGGATGAACCTCTCCACTTTACAGGCGTGTTAGTGTGATAAATGTTCTTTTGTGTGGGGCATTGGTTGTTCACAGTTTATAACCACTCTTATTAGCTTATAGGCCAGTTAAAAACTGCTCTTTAGAGACCCACAGGCCCTATTTAAATTTTTCGTGTTCATCTCCAGGTGTTGTGCATTCAGTTTGACCCTTTGAAGACGGTCCACGGATGGATTTTTGCATGCTGTCTGCAAGGCTTAAGGGGCAATTGAAGATCAATTTTCTGTATCTGGGCTTACTTGCTTATGTAAAATATATATTGTTATGAAGAAGACCTAAATGCTTCTCTGATCTTCCTTTGTAGTTTGCAAAAGTCATTGAAGGTTAAGGAGCCTGTTTTTCCTCCTCCTCCTTAAAATAAACGTCCTAGGTGTTTAAGTATGCTTCGTATTTATATTCATTCCACTTCCTTGGTGTTTTGATGTTGTTTTTCATTGTAAATTTGCTTAAGCAATCTTTTGTGGAGTAATTTCATAACATGCACACACTGTGGTTTTACATTGAGTTGCTCGTGATCTGCAATTCATTAACTTTTGCTGACTAGGAAGTCAGTATAGCACGTTGCATTTTCTCTGTTTATCTTGCTATATAGTCAGTTTCATTCCTTGTAAAAGATGTTAGTAGAACACTTCCTTAAGTATGGCTTCTCTTGCTGTCTGATATGCTGAATCTTTTCCTCAGGGCCTTAAGGAGAGATTGTTGGAGTTTGTATCATTGCCTCAGAGGTGACCAGATATCCTCACTAAAGGAACGTAACAGTTTTCTGGGTTTTAGCTCAAAATGACTATTCACGGTAACACTATATATTTTAAGGATGAATTTATTGCTGCTTGTGTCCGGATATGATTCTCTGCATTTGCTGTTACTTTTGTGCCCGTGTCTCCTCTTGACTTTAACAAGAGGAGGTGCCAAATGGAAGGATCAGAATTCCACCTCAAAACTATCATACACTGTAGCCCGAACCTCTGCCTCTTCCTTTTCTCTTCTTTGGCCGTTGTGGAAAGAATGAATACTATCAACCAGCTGAGGTGAACAGAGCCTTGTTCAGATGTTTAAATGCTTGCTTTGCAACTGAGTCATTCACTCTCCCAAGATGAACTTCTTTTCTCATTAGCCATAGCTAACTCACTGTGGAGATGTTTCAAGCTGACTTGATTGTGATCAGACATGATAGGATACAAGGTAACTTGCTGACCCTAAATAGTAGGGGTGAGTCCCCCAAAGCCAAATAACTTGAAAAACCTTACATACTGAGCATTTTTAAGAATCTGTTTATCTTAGTCCAGTAAATGACAAAATCCTTTGGAAAATGGGCATTATTCTCAGGCATGTTCATGGCTGGCCAGATTATTTGGGTTTTGGCGGGATATGACTTTGGGGACTCTTCGCAGGATGCCTGGGCACAGGAGGAGCTGAAATGCTCCACATTAAACCAACATTGGGAAGCAAGAGGAGAGAAGCATGCTAGAAAACACCCTCCCAGTTGAATGCAAATTGCACTGTATTATGATTTATTCTCTCTTTAGCAAAAGTGAGGGCTTTGTGGTAGGTCAAGATAACTAAATGGGAAAGAAAGAAACAATTGTGTTTTTAATTGGTGTTGCTTCAGGTACTGGGACTGAGAAACTTTTCTTCTTTTTCAGGAGAGTTATGACACGCTGTCGTATTTAGATACTCAGTTTGTGTTCCCATTTTTGTTTTGTTTGGTGGTGTTTTGATTTTTTTTTTTCTATTTTGTTTGTTTGTTTGTTTTTGGCTAAACATATGCGATGCGTGTTTAATTGAATTTCCAAGGCAGCGATACAGGCACCCGTCAAAAAGTGTAAAGATTCACCCAGGTTTTCGGGAGAGGTGGCCATGTGAATTTAACAATCTGCAATGACAGGGGAAAAAAAGTTACTGAGTTTGTGTAAGTAGTTGAGATTCCCAAGTAAAACAGCGTCTGTTCTCATGTAGCTTTCTGGGCTAGTTTGGACAGGAGCTGGCATCTCATTTTTATACATTAACAACTCTTGTCAGATTTCTCTAATTTCTTCAGGACAAGTCAAAACCCTTATAGTTCTCCACATGAAAATGTGTCGTGTCCCATCCTGTCCTTTTGCCATCTTTTCTATCAAAGAAACACTAATTATAAAAATTGAACATAAATTTGTGCTGTTTAATAGGTTTGGGTTTAATTTTGCCTCAGTGGGAAGACGTTTCCATTAAAAGAGTCCTTTTTTTTTTCTCTTCCTCCCCCCTTTTTCTTTTGGTAGAACAGTTAGGAAAGGCGTAGGAAATTGATTTTAGTGTCACAAAGGACATTTGTGACAGGAATGTGCTTTGAAATGATTCAAGGCATCTGTTTCTCTTGCATATGCCTAGCACTGCTGAGAGCTGTACCTAGATGAAACTGTTTAACGTGTCAACTCCAAATCCGATCACAATTTACATCCCAGTTGCTTGGTTGGAATTTTTAACATCTCATGAACTTTCTCCCCTAATTTATGAAACAAGCTTCTGCTGAAAGTGACCATTTGTTCTAGATGCCAATATGTCATGGTCAAAATTGACTTAGCTTGAGAAGTTATTTGTTTTTGTATGGTCACTTTGCCTGTGAAACAAAATCATCTTTGCAGTTTTTATTCCTGCTGGCAGGGTTTGTGAACGAACACTTGGTGGGTGTTTTTGTTACCATTTGCCTTCCACTGGTGCTATGTCTATCATACAAGCTGGCTCAGAGAATTCCAGTTTTAAGAGTGTCTGAGCACAGAAATTATGGGCACTCTGTTTACTACTGTATCCATGACATCCAGCATGGTACCTTGGAAAGGCACCTAAAATAAATCTTTCATATACAAATGGGGAATGAGCACTTTCGACATAGTCATACTACATAGTCTTAGTCATAGACTCTTGATTCTGAGGGCTCACTCATCTACTCTGCTTATGTTTCTCAGAAATTAGTAAGGCTCAGTTGTATTACTTATAGTGAAGCATGTCCTTTGAAGTTGAAGGGCAGGGGCAATTATTTTGTGTGTGTGAACTTTTTATACTCATAGAAGAAATAATTTACTGGGGATGAGAAGAAAAAGCGACTGTGTTGATGCATAATAGGGACCTGAGCTCATTAACTTAATTGTTTAGTGGCTCCTGACTGTTCTTCTCTCCCCCAGTGTCCCCGCATGTGCCCTTGCACAGTATTTACCCATGAGTTTTGAGTGGAGAATCCTGAGAAAGGCTACTACTCTGGCCTTTCCCTCTGCTAATAAGTCTACAGCCAACCGAGCATAGTGGTGGTGTTTGTACAGGTGTATCCTGGGGGACTAGTTCCCCAGTGGACTCACTTGTTGACCTTGAAGATGCATGGTCACTCATGACTAGTCAGTTGAGAACATTATCCATAATATTGTTATCAATATCTTGCATCTCTATCAGCAGTTCTCTGGGATTGTGTTAGTGAGGACAGAGAGCTTCACATTTGCAATAGCTTGAATGTTTGGAAATTTTCTTTTCCTCACTTACTAGTCTAGGGTGGGTGGTCCAGGTCTGTGGATGGGTTGACTCCACCTAATTGTTCGGTACCTAGGTTAATGGCGGCTCTGCCACCTTTTGCATGTCACTTCTGGAGTCACTCTGGTCATACTGTTTCAGCTTCCCAGAAGGAGAAAGAAGAAAGTACAGGAGGAGCAACCTCAGGCACTAGACTGGAAATGGCACACATCACTTCCACTCACATGGAAAAGAACTTAGTTGCCTGGCTGACCATGCTGCAGGGAAGGCCAGGAAATGCAGAGGAGCAGGCCAGCCTTGTGCCAGGCAGCATGGAAGAAGGGGAAAATGGATTTAGTGGACAGTTAGCAGTCTCTTGGACTTTAGGTTTTTCCCAGTCAGTTAGCTGTCCAGCAGCTTTATATTGTAAAGCTAGTTGATCTTAGACTTTAAATAATAGCTAGTACTATATCTATGATAATTATTCCTCCTTTAGGTTTCTTTGGGTCCAAGCTATTTATAAATTGTACTAACTGGCAGAACACACAGCTTACCTTCTTCTGGTTAATGTCAAGGGCTCAGTAGTTTGCACAGACATATTTTTACCCTTTGAAGTGATAAATTAACATTTGAATGGTTGTTTCATTTCCTTCCACTTTTTTATGTCTGGGACACATGGTAGAATAGGGACATGTTTGTAGATTTGTGATTTCTTCTTCATTTGGGAATATATTATATGTATTATTGGTATGCTAGTCATTCATTGTATAGGAAAACCCAGAAGGGCATAATCACTATTGTCTGCAAATATTATTATATAGTATATGCAGATGGTCACTGCCTAATGTAAAATTAGGTTTCCCTTCAGGATCTTTGTTTAGAAGCAGTTCTTGAGGTGACATGAGAAATCGTAACCAGTATTATTGCTTTCTGCTTTTCTAGTTTTTTTTTTTCCTCCAAGGATCTAAAAAATCATCTACAGCATACTTTCCTCTGCTTTGATTAGATTTCAGAAACATTGTCTGAACATAAATTTGTGCTGTTTAATAGGTTTGGGTTTAATTTTGCCTCAGTGGGAAGACGTTTCCATTAAAAGAGTCCTTTTTTTTTTCTCTTCCTCCCCCCTTTTTCTTTTGGTAGAACATACTAAAGAAATTTGTCTGATATTTCTGCTCACATTGTTTAGAGAAATTATACTCCCAACCATCTCTTGGCTGCTTTCGGGTGAAATACATCAACATCTTTGAGACATTTTAACCTGTGGTTAGACTGGCTTTATTCTCTTCTGCTACTTTCCCACAAATAAAGAGTTGTCAGAGTTCTTGCTATGCAATAGATTCTACATTTAAGGCAGGATTTAGATTATTAGTCATCTGATGTTTTAGGTGTTAGCGCAACTAGATACTTAATTTTGGTTTTGTGCCAATGCAAATCACCTGGAGTTTTATTTTTGGTAAGGTGGGGACAAGAAATAAATGAAGTGTGTTCTAAGCTGTTTATTTTATGTAGAATATAATTTTATTTTAAATATACTCTTCCTTGATCTGTCTTGTTGCTCTAGTATTGATATGGCATGAAGTAGAAGTAGATGTTTTTCCTGAGTATGATTTACTGTAAGTCCTGTGACTTCAGCTATATTGAGGCTACTACTAATGGATTAGTACATTCCCGCAGTGTATTTATTTAGCATCCTACCCTCCAGTAATCAAAACATGAGATGCTTCAGTGTAGAACTGCTTGCTAGAGGTGATGGAGAGAAAACACACCTCTCTAGTGGTGATATTAATCTGTTTTCACTGTCTTGTGAATGTGCTTAATGTCTAGGGCATGTTAAATTGAGTTATCCAAAAATAGAGTCCCTGAAATTTAAATAAAGCGGCATTGGAGCAAGAAACTAATCATTCTTTTTCTGATAGTTAACCAATTGCCACCTTTCCCAGCTCGCATTATAGCAGCTCCTATGGGTGTCACTACACTGTCACATTGTTCTGTAATATTCTGTTTACATTTCTGTCTTCTGTACCAGACTGTGAGCTTCTTGCAGGAAGGGAATGTGTTGTATTCATGTTCGCATGGAACTTCTAGTCACTAGCTGATGAACAAATTTAAAAAATGAAGAAACATTAAATACATTAAGTAGGAAAATCTTATGCTTGTGCTGATAGGTGAAAACTAATCTGATGACATTCCTTCAAAGTTTGTTCAAACAGATTGGTATTTGTGATTTCTGGATATAGGGAATCTTCTTGTTGCCCATCACTGCTCATCTGATTAATCTTAGTTTTCTTAAAAAATCAAGAAAATATAAACACCATGTATATTGGTCTAAAACGATACAAATGATAACATGAAAAAGAGGGTTTTCCTCACTGAGGTGTGTCTGACTTCCTGCAAGCTCAGCCTGTTTTCCCATCTGTCAAACTGGGGGAATAACGGGACTTAGCTTTTTGGGACTGCTGGGAGGCCTGAATGAGATATATTTGACCCTTGAACAACGTGTGTTTGAACTGCAAGGGTCCACTTATACGTGGATTTTTTTCAATCAAACATGAATGGCAAAAATAGTATTTACGGGATGTGAAACCCACGGTCTACACTAAGGGCAGATTTCCCTATCCTCACATTCTGCAGGACCAATGGCAGTACTTGAATATGCGTGGGTTTTGTTATATGCAGAGGTCCTGGAACTGATCCCCAGAATACACTGAGGGATGATTATATTTTGTGGCGGGCTTAGCCCAGTGCCTCATACCATAGTAAGCTCCCAACAAATGTTAGTCATGACAATCATGAGAATTGTTGTAGTTTTTTTCATTTCCTGAGACATCTTCCATGATTATTAAATCTTTTAAATTTTTATTACCTATTTTTTATACTTGATTTTTTTTAATACTTGATTTTACTGTTAAATAGTTCATTTCGACAGCAACCATCAAATAGTGTCTTTCATTACCATGACTAGAACTCAGGGAAAGTTAGGATAGCTCTCTACAGTCATGGAAAACAGGAGATAATAAGATCATCTTTCTCTTTGTAGGGATGTCATATCATGAAGTAGCTGAACTATGTAAAGTGGTACTTGTTTGTTTATCCAGCATGTAATGCCTGTAACAACAAATAGAATCTCCTGGTATCAGATGGTTCTGAAAGCTTGCACAGAACACAGTGATATGATAAGATGCCACAGACTTTAATGTTACCCACAAATACTACTCTTCTTTTTCCTTCATTTTTAAGTGTATATTTCTGGGTCAGGCACTGAAATGTATTTAAGCATTTCTCTGCTAACCTTTTATTGAAGCAGGTATTTATTTTCTATTCTTTCTAAGATCTAGTGATGAGGTGCAGTGCCACCTCACTTATCTGGAGGCCATGTATCAGATAACCTCAGCTATCTGGAACACAGCTGTGGCTTAGGAGTAAACCAGAAAGGCCTCGAGCTGCCATAGGTGTCACACAGTCTTTGCATTAAGGCCTATGCACACTACTCAAAGAAAAGCCCCAGGGTTTCACCAGCAGCAAATCTGTCTTAATTTTACAATCGTGTAGAACTTGTACAAAATCTTATCTGTTACTTATCTTTTCTCCACCCCCCCATACATACATGGGAACTAGAAAATTTGAGGTTTGAGAGGTACAGAGTTGGGGAGGTGCCACTAGATACAAGTAGGCTCAAGTAGCATAAAGAATTCATTGATAACACTTAGCAGGATGCAAGTATTGACCTGAATCAGCAATAAAGGTAAAATTCTTTTTTATTTTCACTCTGTTTAAGAAGGCAGGTACTCTATAAACTTCTGAAGTATTTTCGTCAATTATAATTTAATTAAAAACTGTCATGATGATTCCAGATAAATTGGAAATTTCCTTTTTCTCTCTTATTTCTGCCTACTTATGAAGTTTCATGGGCATAACCTTTTACTTATGAATATGTTTCCTTTACTTGCCTTTCCCCATTGTGCATATATGATTCTTTTCTACTTTTATTTTTTTCCCATCGAAGGAATAAAAATAAACATTTAGGTAGTAGAGAAGCTTAAGATGTCTTGAATAGTACATTTGCCAAAGTTTGTATTTTTAGTTTTTAGCACGCCATTCTGCATTAACTACCCCATCCCAAATACCCAACAACAGCAAACCCAGCTGTGTCAGCCTCTGCTTTCCCTCCAGGACTGGATTTATAAGCATGAGGCTAGGGATTATTCTCAAGTATCAGTAGAATTTAGCACCATGCTATGCACATAGAAAGCGCTCAGTAATTCTCACAGCAACAGTTATTTGAGATAGATATTGTTGTTATCCCCATTTATAGGTGAGGATGTGGAGGTTCACAGAGATTGAGTGACTTGCCTCAAGTCACACCGCCAGAGGATAGAACCAGAAATCATATCTTGCCGGCTGGTCCTTTAGTCCATGTGTCTGATTGTCCTAGCTGCAAGGCTCACTGCTTAGCTCCAAGAAAAGCTTGGCATTTCTGGACTTCCCATTTCAGTTCTACATAACATAAAAACAGATTCGTGTTTCCTAACTGACAAAAAGTGAAAGAAAGACGAAGGACTGATTGAAATCCGTTATTAAACTTCTGTGAAGGATTGAATTGGCATAAATGCCCAGCTCAAAGAAAACGAGCTATTGTAAAAGCAGTAATATTTCATGAGACTTTTTTTCCCCAATTCACCTATTCTTTTCATTTTTACTTTGACAGAATTCTTGGGTTGTCTATTAAAAAGCCTATGGGTTAAAGCTAATCTTACGTGTTTAAAATTATACATTGACAATCTTTCTTTTGGTTTTCCTTTTCTAAACTTTTTTGGAGTGTTGACAACTTTAAAAGAAATGGCATGTTCCTTTAACCCTAAGAACATTTTATTTAAATTTAGTCACTGGTTTGGAGAAAGAGTAAACAGAACTTTTCATTTAAATGTTCTCATATCTTGGAAGAATGAATGGGTAGTGATATGATTTATAGCTTGTATAAGAATAAAGAATATAAAAGAAAATTGAAACCCAAAATTATTGGTTTCAGCAGAGCATTTCTGATTTAATTCTAAATTGTGAATACCGTTTACATCTTGCTTAAATGTTTCTTGCCAGTTTGTAGAAGCAAATCTCTACCTTTTGTGTGACACATAGTTTAACGGAATACTCATCGTCTATATAGATAATTTAAAATTAAGAGAGGTAAATCATCATTCATATCTAGCATAGTGCTTCAATAAATATTTGTTGATTGAATAAATGAATAAATCAAGGAAGGAAAGGGAGAGACAGAAGGAAGGAAGGAAAAGAAGGAAAGGAAAGGAAGAAACGGAAGAAAGGAAGGGAGGAAGGAGGGAGGGAGGGAGGGAAAGAAGGAAAGAAAAGGAAAGGAAAAAGGGAGGGAGGGAGGGAAAGAAGGAAAGAAAAGGAAAGGAAAAAGGGAGGGAGGGAAGGAAGGAAGGAAGGAAGGAAAAAGTAAAAGATTGCTGTGTTACACAGTAACAGGAATAGCACCCACACTTTACAGAAAAGTTTTTGGTACCATAGATATCTACACCTTTCTACGAGAAAACTAAAATATGAAAAATAGAATAGGTTACTTTGTGGAAAAAAACACTTAACACTACTGTTTTGCAGACATACCATAGATCAGCTTTGCATAACATGGAAATTATCTTGCATTGTCTTCATTTAAATATTTTCTAGTATATTTATTGAATAAAAAGACAGATATAGAATTAACGGTGTTTACAATTTCTGTATATATGAAGCATCTACCACTGTCTTTGACTTAACCCTTCTTATGTCTGAGCTTCAATCATGAGTTTTTCAAAAACTTATTTCTAGAAAGCAGAATTGGGTTTCTTCAATTGACAGTGGAGTGTTTTGCTCCAGAATACTGAAATACTCTGTTGTGATATTGGAAACTTTCACCAATTAAGGACAAAAACTTTCTCTCATATATATATAGTTTGTGTCTCTTACAGGAATCGTTTTAGAAGTTCATGTAGACTTATTTTATTGAGGCTGTTGAGCAATGTCTCTTTTCTACTTCTCCTTGTGAATTTTATTTGGATATTATTTGAATAGTCTCAGAGGTAGCAGATCTTTATTTTTTAGTATAATTTATTTGGAATCAGCCCAGAGTTATTTGGAATCATGCTGTTAAGGTGGACACTGAAGTTGTGGATTTAAAAAAAGAAAGCCTAGTTGTAGCTGTAAAACACTAGGGTGTAGGTATGACACATCAATTGTCATAGAAGGGAAGGATATAAGGAGTAGCTCAAAATATGCAGGACCAATGACAGTATTGTTTGAATAAGCATATGACCCTTCAAGGCAACTATTGTGAAGAGTAATTCTCTCTTAAAATTTTAAATCTATAAATTCCAGTGGTTTTTCTTCAAAGTTTTAAAGTCTCACCTTACATAGACTCAAAGACTGATGTGCAACAGTAGGACAAGAAGAACCTGAATACTTAGGACCTAGTTAATCCTAAAGAGCTGAAGCTAAACATAAAGATCACTGTCAACCTTGGCATTAGCCTATTTTAGTAATTGGGCTCAGTGTGTGTGTGTGTGTATATATATATACACACATGTGTGTATATATATATACACACATATGTGTATATATATTTTTTCTGGCTTAACTAGTTGAAAATTCATTTAAAAATGTTCTTCTGATTTTTAAATTTTGTATTTATATTTTTTGTCTTCTTGTGTCATTGGAAACAGGGTAACTGCATTTTTGGTGTTCTTGCTGAGAGAGGATAGGGCCCTTTGAGGAACATGTTTTCTGATTTGCAAGATCTAGATACCTGGGACATTAAAATTTTTCAAGTTACTTTTTGCAAAGGAAAATTGCTAAAAATTACTTAGCCTCTTGTAATCATAAATGCTGACTTCTGCTTACAGTATTTTACCAAGAATGGCTAACAAATACTTTTAAATGGGTTAGAGGCATATCTATAACAAGTATCTCTGCAATGTGGAAAATTAAGCTTGCCCTCTAATATGGAAATTGAGATAAGTAGAAATGAAAGCATTTAAATATATGTTATAAATATCATGTACATTTGATTGGCCTGAAATACTGTAACTATTTGAATGCTATTGCATGATGCCAGCTCTCTCTTTGACATTCTGACTACATCACTCACTCACTCCATGCTACCCTGCATGGAATATTGATGGAAAACTTAAATCCTTCTCATTTTGAAAAGTGAAGCATGGGTAATTAAGCAATGCATCCATAAGTTGGACACTAGGTTTTTACCAAGGCCCAGTAATGAATAGAAAGTG